TAAGTTTTAGAGGCACCTTCTTGTCACACAAAACTCCAGTAACAGCCCTCTACTTTAGCTATCCCGCCTTTATACGGTGTGTAACGTCATCATCTACACCCCCATCTTTATTTATCATATACCTAGGTACTTGAAACAATCATTTGATGGGAGAACATGTCCTTCTATGCATACTTCTACATCTTCGTCGTTTTGGTTCCCACTGAAGTTTAAACATAAATGCTATGTCTTTTCAATATTGATCCTTAGACCTTTTTCTTCCAAAGCAGTTGTAACATCCCAAACTATGGGTTAGTGACTTAATTGTAAAGTTTCAGAATTTGGTGATTAAAGTAGAAGAATGAATTAGTTTAATGATTTATCTGAAAATAAATCCTAAAAGTTGTTAGTAATTATTAAAGGAATTAAAGGGCAAAATGGTTTTTTTTATCTAAAAGATAATTATCTTATCTCTTTATTAAGAGATAAGCATGTAGGGAGATATTTCTCCAGAACTTCTTCTCCTTCTTCTTCCTCTCCTCCCGTATCTCCAAGCTCAAAGGTGAGTCTTCTACTTAGTTAATTATTTGTTAAGTTTAAGATTGGGTTTTGATCATTAGATGATAACTAAGCTTAAGGAAAGCTTAAGTTATCTTAAGATCAAAAGATAAAGGAGATAGAGAAGATTAAATATTAGAGGTTCTTGAATAAAACATTGGAATAGAGTTCATAACAATAATTGAAAGTTGGATTTGACTTGTCATCAATCTAGTTAAGATATACGAAGTGTTAAAAGCGGAATTCAAACATGTTGATTTATTAATGTAATTCTTGAATTACATATGAAGGATAGGATTTGAAGGTTTAAGATGAAATAAATGAGTATAAATTGGTTTAAGGATGTGTACTATAGTTAAGAATGAAAAAGAGGATTAAACATGAAGGATTTAATCCAAAATGAATGAATTTTCGGGTTCAAAAAGAGGATTCTGGACAGAGTGCATCGATGCACATTCATAGTGCATCGATGCATCAAGGTTAAAACCCATAAATTATTTGAAGGTGTATCGATGCATTGGTAGTGCATCGATGCACTCTTTTAAAATAAATACATCAAATGCAATTCGTGCATCGATGCATAAGTAGTGCATCGATGCATCCCATTAATAATGTAACATCGAATGCAATTCGTGCATCGATGCATAAGTAGTGCATCGATGCATCCAGTAATAATACAACATCGAATACATTTTATGCACCGATGCATCAGTAGTGCATCGATGCATACCTTCATTAAAAGATGAAATTGACTTTTCTCTTGGTCTAAAGAGTGAACCATTAGAGTATATTAGTTATGATACTGATATAGATCTATGTATGATTATGTAGATATAGAACGTGATCCCGTTCCGAATCAACTGAAGGATTAGAATCGAATCAAAGCAAAGCTAAGGTGAGTGCAATTTAATTTGTACTTATATTATTGAATAAACATTTGGCTTGCGATGAGCCAGTGATGGAGTTACTATGGTAAGAAGTAACTCCTAAAATGTTATTTGATTGGTGATCAATGTTATGATTTGTGTGATTATGAGATATATAAGTTATATGGAAAGTATATGTGAAATAAGATATGAGCTTATATGAATATGTGATATGAATAAAGCTATAAGAAATGATTTATATGAATACATGCATTTGTGATGCGTGTTATATGATATTAGATATATGTTTACACATACATATGGTATGTGACCGAAGAGAATGAACATGTGATTATAAGATCAATGATTACACGTATATTTGGTACGTGACTGAAAAGAAAATATATATGTTCATAAGAGAAAGGATATGAATAAGTAAATTGAACTGTTATGAATGTTAATGCCCATGTTATGTAATAAGAGAGCTAGTGGTATAGTTGGCATGCCAAGGGTCGAGGGTTTACCTATGTTCTTCGGAACATATGGACTGTTTACCTAGGTTCTTCTGGATCTATGGACTGGTCCTTCGGGAAGAATACTGAACTAAGGTTCGGTGCCCCATGAGGGAATTGATACGAGCTGTGGTGACAGCATTAGTGCACAACCTCAATGTACTCACATACCTTAAGTTCTCAATAGTGTACATGGGCTAATAAAGAGATCAAACAAACATACTGAATGTGATATGTATACGATGAGTTTATAAATGGTTATCAAAGGTAAGTGGTTTGAAATGTGTTACATGAACCATATGATGTTATGTGTGTTTCTTAATGATAATGATAATATATGTTTATGTATGCTTTATGTTATATGAAATATTATATGTTTTATATGCCTCACTAAGTCTATGACTTAGTGTGTAAGTGATTTACACGTAGGTACCAAGAAACGAGAAGAACAAGAATAGAAGTGGCAAAGACAATATCATTACTAGAAGATCAGATCAGAAGTAATTGGCAAAGTATGTACTTGGTTATGTATAGAATGTTGGCATGTAATAAGTGTTAATTACGAATACTCTGATAGATTTTGTATTAAATGATATCTTTTATGTAAATTAAAGTATTTTATTTTAATGAAAAGTCAATGTGACACTTCGTGTTTGGGAGGTTCAATTTGTGTTTGCTCCGAGAGAGCGGAATCGCGTTGCAGATTGCATGGCTAAGTTGGCATGGAGGCATTCCTTTGAGTTGCGGATTCATTACGACCCACCTTTGGCTGTCGGTGGAGCATTTTCTTTCGATAATCAGGTTCTCTCTCTCTTTGTTGAGCTCCCTTTCCATTAAAAAAAATGTTTGAAGCCTTTTATTTAAAGGAAAATATAAAATATTTACACAAAAAAATATAATATTTCATATATGTTTATGAATGGAGCTGTCGTTCAGCTAATGCAAGCTTATGTAATAAGAAAAATAGATTTTGACTGCAATTTTCAGCGATTCACAAAATAATTTGACAATTTTATTTATTAAAACAATACAATAATATTTATTTATAAATTTAATATTTAAGAGTGTTGTGTTAACTAAATAAAAAAATGTTCAATAAAAAAATGTTTTAGCGAACCACACTATTTTAGCTTCATACACGTTTTGTTTATTTCCAATAATTTTTTGGTAGGCCAATTAGATGGAGACTGCTTAATTTATACTCAAAGATCTGTACAAATTTGATATAATTATAAAATTTTATTTTCAATAAAATTATGAGATGTTATCTTGTTGAATCTGTCAATTATTAAAAGTTATAAAGTGATATCTGATTACAGGGCTTGTTTTGTTGAATCTCTTGATTATTAAAAATTATAAAATGATCATCCGATTATTAATATTTTTCAAATTCATATATTTTCGTTAAAAAGTTAAAGACAATTTGAGTTGAACGTTAACTTATTGAATGGTGTATGATAAAATCAGATACTAGAATCTCAAACGATTATCATATCATAATTAACATATTAATATCTAGCTCAAACGACATTCAATTTTTTAATTAAAAAATGAGATTAGAACATATTAATAATCATATGATCATTCTATAACTTTTAATAGTAGAGAGACTAAATAAAATAAACCTTATAATCAAATATCATTTTATAATTTTTAATAATTAGAGATTTAATAAAATAAGGATAGATTACACTTTTACTCATTGAACTTCATTCACTCTCTTATTTCACTTATGATAGTTTTAATTTTTTTATTTAATCACTGAACTTTAAAATTTAATTTTTTTTATCACAAACCATTAAGTTACGACGTTATGAAATGGTAAAACTAAATAATTTTTTAAATCATGATTTTCCATGTCACCCCACCCTCACCCTTACTCTCACCCCGCCTCATCCTCACCTTCACTGACATCTCCGACTCATTCCTTCATTTCCACCATTCTCCGACCACCGAGCTATGCCTCCCCAATCGTTTACGCGCACCCATAAATCTAACCCCAAATAAATAAAAAGTCATGAAAATTCCAGTTTTACACAGAGAAATGTTTTGCACTTTACCTTTGTTGGGTTTAATTGGCTTTCTCTCTCGATGGCTAGATGGTCGACGGTAGTTTCACAACCGGAAAAACGATTCATTTTGTTTGTTTACATGAAAATCGGGTTTTCCAAATTGCTCTATCCGTAAGATTTATGTTTTAAAGTAATTTTTTTTTTGAAAACATGCAAAAATTTCAAACTCAAGAAGATTTAGTCTAGAATTCAACAATACAAAGTCATTAATATTGTCTAAAAGCAATCGACTAAACTCAGCGATAACGACGAAGGGAGAGGGTGTGGTTCCTCTTCCAGGTTGCCCTCCGAGAAGGCCGATTCTTGTGGTGCAGGTGACCCTTGCCGTGGAGACCCCTTTTTTTTCCAACAGGCATTAGTCCTCGAAGCTCCCTGTGCTTGTGAACAGGGTTACAGATCCAGTTATTATATAATTGATAAAAATTCGAAATAGATTGGGAATGCAGACGAATTGCTGCCATATTTCGTTCTCTTTTGTTCTCAAGTTGTTGAACTCTCCCCAAGCTTTTGTTGGACTATCTATTGTTCTCTATTCGATACGGATGTTGGATCAGTGGTACCATCGCTTCCCGGTGTCGCCACCTCCTTTACCCAGCAGAATCTGTTCATCGTCATAATCATCAGCAGCATCCCTTTTTGTAAAGCTTTAAGGTTAGAGATTTTGACTATACTAAGACCTAAATAAATGTAAAATTTTATTTTATTTTTTAATTATAAATCTTATGTGACGTCAATACTTCATTATTGAATAACGGTAAGTGATAAAAAAAAGTTTAATATTTAAATTTTAATGACTAAATTAAAAAATTAAAAATATGATAAATAAAATAAATAAAAAATTCAATAAATAAATATATAATTTATCTATAAAATAATATCATATAGTTAAGATATCATTTATATATTTTATTTGAAAATATAATTTCAAACAAAGTCAAGATCGGGTTGAATTGGGGTAAATGTTAAGAGCCAATAGAAACATAAGACAGTCGGTGCGAGAAGGGGGCTGGGTTTCTATATTTTTAGGGACTTTGCCTACTGGTAGAACCGAAAGAAGAAACAAAGTAAAAGCAAGGAAGAGAGATGCGATGGCAAGGCAAACAGGGAAGCAGCAGGCACCGGGAACGACAAGATCTCTATTGATCCGCATTGGCGTCGGTCTCTTGTTGATCGGACTCATTGCCGATTTATTATGGGCTTCATCTTCTCGTTTCAAGCTTTCATCTCTTTCGATTTCCACCAGTTGGTCCCCTCGGTCATCAGATTTGTCTGTTACATTTCCAGCCCAGCTCAAAGAGCCCTTTAATGCCTCTTCAAACCCAAAACCCAAGGTAAAACTATCTCCCTCTCTCGCTTCCCTTCCTTTGAATCAAAGATGGGATAGTGTATCGATTCCGTTTACTGCTTTCTGGGGTTTTTGTAGGAGAAGAAAGTTAAAGAAAAGAGTAAAGATGGAAGAGTTTTATCGGCTACTTTTGCTGATTTGCCGGCTCCTGAACTCAAATGGGATAAGATGGCGTCTGCGCCTGTTCCTCGTTTAGATGGAGCTGCTATTCAGATTAAGAATCTTCTTTATGTCTTCGCTGGATATGGCACCATCGATTATGTTAGTAACATATGACTACAACTTTTTAAATTGTTATTATTTTGGAATGCAAAACAATATATATTATTACTGAATTCAGTGCTTAGCTTAGTAAGTTTATAGTCATTCTTAAGAGGCCGTGTATAGCAGGTCTGTGTTTGAACCTTAGTATATGCAATATATGCAATGCCACCCCTTTCCCCTTAAATCATCTTTGTGTATGTACCTTTACTGCAATACGACTACCCTTTGCAATTCGTCCATTTTTATACAAATGTAATAAGCATTGAAATTATTATTATTTTTGGAGCGCGAAATTCATGATTTACTGAATTTGGAGCTTAGCTTTGTTGGTGATGCCATTCTTAAGAGGTCGCAAGTAGCAAATGCAACTATTAGAACAAGACTTTATTTGTTTCTTGAATTTAGTATTTTCATTGAGTTTTTGAAATTAGATTGTGATCTTTGTTGCTGCAACTCTTCATTTTGCTTGAATTATCCGTTCTCATTACCTATACCCTACATGTATTTGGAAATGGGTTTAAGAATATGATCCTTCAAAGACCCTCCAAATATATGTCAAACTTAGAAAAATTGAACGTACCCATATTTGAAACTCAGAGTCCAAGTATCATAACAGTGACAAGTTTACTAAATTCTTTGATTTCACACGATACTATTGCAATGATATTTCCTTGGAGCAACTTATCAGTATTTTCAAGTTCCTTATAGGGTGATTTTTAAGCATATCTTTATGTAGAAATAGAGTTACAGTTCTAACTTGTTTCTATTTTACTTCCAATGTTTGTACCATAGGTGCATTCTCATATTGATTTTTAAATATTTGCTATGTTATTGCGGTAGTGTTTCTTTTGAGTAACCAAGCTGCATTTTCAAGTTATTATAGGGCGATTTTTAAGCATATTTTTATGTTAAAATAGAGATATGATTCTAACTTGTTTCTATTTTTACTTCCAACATTTGTACTATAGGTGCATTCACACGTTGATATTTACAATTTTACGGATAATACATGGGGAGGAAGATTTGATATGCCAAAAGAAATGGCTCACTCACATTTAGGTATGGTAACTGATGGGAGATACATTTACATAGTCACTGGACAATATGGTCCTCAATGCAGAGGGCCTACAGCTCACACATTTATTCTTGATACTGAAACAAAGAAATGGAGTGACATGCCCCCTTTGCCTGTCCCTAGGTATGTGAATATCTTGAATCTTACTGATGTATGGTAGTACTCTTGGAGAGTAAAAGTTTTTGCCCCCTATAAACTGTAATTGTTTACATTCTGTGTTTAATTTAGGTCTTGTTTCCAATGTTTTATGAGTTCCCTTTTCTCTTTGCTTTCGGTTCTGTCATGTTCTGAACTTGTCTATTTGAATTTTTGAGTACCAAATGAAAAAAGAGAGAATGTGCTGCCATTTCCTTCTGTTTCTTCAAGATCAATTCTTTAGAACAATAACTAGCATATTTTAATTTACTAATTGCACTGTCAGGGTTCGTGTTTGAGCTTCATTATTATTCAGCCATAGGTTCTAGTTATAGCTTTGATCCAATTTATGTCCGCTTCTTTATGTACCAAGATGAGTCCTAGACAGGCTGACCTAATTTCTGGAACGGGAACAACGAAAATGGTTCCCTCTATAGTCTGTAGAGAGATTTTATAAACAAATGCCCAAATCCCTTTTGAGTTTTTTTTTCCTTTCAATTTCCTCATCTTGATCATGTTGGCTTTTTAACCCTATTTTCTTTTTGCATTTTCTTCTTCTTGTCGATTCAAACATTTCACATCTACTAAATCTAATTCTTTTAGAAATCTATTTTAGAAACATAGTTTTTATTCTAGACAATAGATCTATGGGCTCTTCTGTAAACTGGAAAAATATTGGTTCTGGATAATTTATGGATTTGACTAGTTTCTCTGGCTTAACTGAAAAGACACTTGACAAAACTGAGTGGCGGGCCTCGGGTATTTTCAGGTATGCACCGGCCACTCAGCTTTGGAGAGGTAGACTTCATGTGATGGGTGGAAGCAAGGAGAACAGGCATACACCTGGATTAGAGCATTGGAGTCTTGCTGTAAAGGATGGGAAAGCATTAGAAACGGAATGGAGGAGCGAAATACCCATTCCACGGGGAGGACCTCATAGGTTTGTCTACTTGTTTTCTCTAATATTTCTTGTCTTCGACAATACGTTGAAAGATTTTGCTTTTTGTGCTGTTCTTGATTACAGTTTGATTAAATTTGGATTATGACTTCATTGCATCTTTTGTCGATTATTGTTTATGTTTTTGTATGGAAAAAACCCCTGAATGGATGTGTGTCCGCATGTTTAGTTTTTGCGGTTAAATCAAATGATACATAGCGCTAATTGAGACGATTGTTGGTTTGACAGTGCTATTACAGCAATTATGCAATATTATCACATTTTAGCGCTTGAATTTTTGGTTTAAATCTTCAGTTGCTGACGTGCATGTTATTCACACTCTAGTTTGAGCATTGAATGTGTATGTATGTGTCTAACATGGATATGTTTCTTTTTTAACCCATGTCCAAGAATATGTTTCGAAGACAATTGTTGGACATTATACTGCTAGAAAAATGAATAGTCGGAGAAACATAGGCTGCTCTTAGTTTATTCCTTTATATCTTTAAGCAATTATACTAATCGGATGAAAATGGAACCCTTACCCAATATTGGAAAAGGAAGAGACTGTAGATTCTGTTTGAAACATTTAAATAGCTGGAAGTATTGTCCTTAATCAAGAAAGATTGCTTTAGTCATATCTTATGGGAATCTATTTGTTTTGAATAGTCAAGAAAAATGCAACTTAATTTCAGCTGCGCATTCCTTCTATATTCTCACATTAACTTCATCATCTGAATGTCATCAATTTAGGGCCTGTGTTGTGTTTAAAGATCGTCTTTATATTATTGGTGGTCAAGAGGGTGATTTTATGGCCAAACCTGGATCACCAATTTTCAAATGCTCTCGGAGGATGGAGGTAAATGGGCTATTTGTGTTTTTCTTTATAGCTCTTTTCGTGTGGCTTTTGTATAATAGTTTTTCAATTTGTATAGGCTTTTTTCTCTTAAAACATTCCATATTATCTTATCGTGGGTAGATTGACTTAAGATCTATATAAACCGAATTTGAATGGTTTCTGGGTAACTGGAAGCCTTACTAAATTAGTAAACTTAATGCTGTTAACGAACCTGGTTCAGTTCTATTGATCAATTTTAAGTATCTGTTTTGATATTTATTCAGTTGTACTAAGCAGGTATATGTCTTTTAGAATTTTATATACAAAAATTCTTGTCCTCTGCACAATATGCAACAACTTCACGCATTATGAAATTCTATGTTACTTGGAATTTCGGGCACACCCATTCCTGATTATTTCATCTCTATCTTTTTAAAAAAGTTTTCATGTCTTCTTGGAGATTTCATGATGCATGATTTAAATATTTAATCTCTCATTTACTAAGCGCAATGAGTTCTCCACTGGTTGTCCGACCTATCTTTTGCTCATATGTTTTGTATAATATCTTTTCCATTAATATAAATCAAGCCATATATTTAACTTGTTTTCTAATCTTTCTTCAGGTAGTGTATAGTGATGTATACATGCTGGATGACGACATGAAGTGGAAAACATTGCCTCCCATGCCAAAACCAGATTCACACATCGAATTTGCTTGGGCAATTGTTAACAATTCTATTGTTATCGCCGGAGGCACGACTGAGAAACATCCTATAACAAAAAAGATGATTCTGGTTGGAGAAGTGTTTCAGTTTAATTTTGATACACTGGTATTTTCTTATCTTTTTATGGCATTATAATATAAGATTTTTGTATTTATGCACGTATATGTGTACTCACAAGCTTTGCAGATTTTGTATTGTGTTTTTGTATTCACACGCAAAAGTGTATAAGCATATATGTGCATGTGCATACGTGTGCAAATGAACATTTCTGTGTAATCATGCATGAAACGCCCCAATTTATGCTCCGGCATGCCTCAAGTGGAGCTGCCGCATTATCAGCTTTTCTTGTTCATTGTTGAGCATACTAATTTTTTGACCTAGTCATTTTTCACCCATATATGAGTATATGGACATCAAGGATCCTCCAAATAGATAGAAAAGACTTAAAATCCGACAAAACTCATGTCAGACACATACCGTACCTGACACTTACAGTGGAATTCTAGTAAATATAGGTTTTCATATTTAGCAGAAATCATTACTTGGTGTTATTTTTGACAGGTGTTTTGATTCCCTCTGATGTTTGTGATTCTGTTTTTGCAGGAGTGGTCCGTGATTGGAAAACTTCCTTACCGAGTGAAAACCACGCTCGTTGGATTCTGGCAAGGGTGGTTGTATTTTACATCTGGGCAACGAGACAGAGGTCCGGATGATCCAGCACCTAGAAAAGTTATCGGAGAAATGTGGAGAACCAGATTAAGACTGAACTCATAATACGCCTCGTATGAATTTCTGGTACGATATTCAACTTCCCATCTGATCGGTTTCATACTGAATTGAAATCAAATATCTGTTCATCTTTCTTGTTGGATCATTGTTTCATTAATCTGTTTTTTTAGGCAATTTTCATCTCTTTCTGGTATAGTTATTGCCATGGAAAGACCAATAGATGTCCATGTTCATAGCCGATTTGATTTCGTTGTTGCTTGCTCGATGGAAGGATACGTTTCCTTTGTTTTCTATCTAGATTTGCACGTTATTCTCTTGTAATTTTAATTACATAAAGCAAATTAAATTATTCTTTCTTACTTTAAACACACTTATGTTGGATTAATAGATTTTTGACATTAGCAATTTAAGCAGATGGATAGGAAGACTATGCATATACAGGGCTTATGGTCCATGACCGTGAAATTAATGTCACGTGATATATTCAATAGTCCCCCCCATATAAGGTGATTCGAGAGAGTATTAAATTGGTGATAAATAATATAGCAAGGGTCGTTTCATTAAATGATATTTTATTGTATGCCCATATCAAATCCAACAAATATAGAGGTAATATAGAGGTGTCGTGTTCGAATAACTGTCTGGAAGGTGCGTGCGCGTTCAATTGATTAAGAAAATTTTGAACAAATTTTACCCTATAGTATGTATTTTGGTATTATATTTATACTATATGATCATATCTTATTTGATATTGTGAGATCTATTTAAATAAAACTAATTGGGTTTTCCTTTGATTGACATCTTGCGATTGTAATATATATGAAGATACAAATTTAAGCATGTTTAAATACGTGTTATATTTGAACTCATCGAATAACTTTAGTGGTAAAGGAAAGTATTGTTATTCTTAGAGGTCTTGAATTCGAAAAATTGCATTTACATTATGTGTGTGTTATCAAATGATTAAGAAAACACTGAATATATAATATCTTGTAATTATATATATATATATATATATATATATATATATATATATATATATATATATATAGAGAGAGAGAGAGAGAGAGAGAGAGAGAGAGAGAGAGATATTATGGGGGTAAATTAATTGATGTCATATTTCCAAGTTATTGGGAAAATGAAGGAAAAAAGTGGGGAGAAAAGTAACAAATGAAATCAAGAAACGTGTGGTTGGAGTTGGATAATAAATTGCTAAGGGAATGGGTAGGTCTCATCATTTTCACATTTGACCCCGTTTTTATGCCACCACTCCATACAACAAATATATTAGTATACAGTTTTTTAAATAGACGTGAACAATTTTTATTTTTATATTTAATAATTTACTTAGTAAAATAAATATAATACAATTTTTGTATTTAAAAATAATTAAAATATATTTATTTATTAAAAATAGTTAGTTTTAAAAAATAATTTAAATATAAAAATATTTTCAATAATAGACATTTAGTAATATTTTTCAAAATTGTAACAGATGTTTTAAAAATATATATTTTGAAAGAAAAAAGTTTTATGTAAAATAATTGTGTATATAAGTTTTTAGTGGTGTCTTCAAATATAAATAACAAGTTCTAATATTTTTTGTTTAAATGTTTATAGAAATATGAAAAGGTAAAAACATTTATAAAATTATTTATTATGTTTAAAAAATATATAAATTTATAATAATTTATGACTAATCAATTTGAATATCAATTCAATCAGGATTTTATTATTAATATATATACTTCACTTATTTAATTAGATTACGATTAAACTACTAAAATATTTTATTAAATATTTAGTGAATTATAATTTTAAATTAAACAATATCTCATTTTCGTTATAATATAGAAATGATTTACTTTATTTGTATAAATTATTGATATATATATATAATATAATATTTAGGTACATTTTTATTTTTATTTCAGTTTAAAATATTTTTCCTTTTTAAAATGCTTTTTTTTTCTTCAAAATAAAAAGTTCGTTTAGATATATGTATTCGATTTAGATATATAACCAACAAAATAGAGAGATTATAATTTTAGCTTAAAAAATACAAGGAAAAAAAAGGATCGAACTTTAACAGATAAAAGTAAAAACAGTGAGCAGCTAAGCCTCAAACTAAAACAGACTGAGACAGGTTTTTGTAATATTATCTTGATTTGTTTATGTTTGATCTTTGTTTTCCTCGTATGATGTCTGTAAATCTCTCGATTTCCTCAACTACTTCAATAATATTTTCCTATCCTTCATTTTCAGGTATTTCTTTCCTTTCTATCTTCCATTTGTCCTTCTCACAGTCTTTAAAACTTGTTATTTTCCAACAAGATCTTCGATCTTTTCCATTTTCTTAGACTTCCCTTTCAAAACGAAGATCTGGTTTGATCTCATTTTGCGATTAGGGTTTCATTTTCTCTTTGTTTTGCCTCTGGGGTACTGTTCTTCTCCCCACTTCCTTGTATTTGAATTTGCTGAAGGAAAAATGTAGTTAACGAGTGTTCTATCCTACATCTAGTTGGATTGTTTAAGCTTGAAAATATCTACTTGCTGTTATAGATTTTTTGTTTTTAATCTAGTTTCAGTACCCAAAAAATGGGAATTTACTTGTTTTGCTGTCTGATTTGTACCCTCAATTTGGTTCTTTTGTGAGAAGAAGCTATTTTTAATATTTAACTGGACTGTCTAAGCTTGAAAATATCTAATTGGGGTTCTCAATTTATTTGGTTTACATTGATTTTTGTTTCAATTTGTGATCTTGGTTTATGTAGTTCTTCCATTTGGGCTAGTAATTGGAAATTTCTCTTTTTGATACTTTCCACGATCTCTTGTGCAATATGTGAGCTGTTTGACTTAGCTAACAATTCAAGAGGAGAATAAATTTGTGAATGGTATCTTAGGGAAATGGACTTCAATTTCTGATTTTGTTCCCTTGGTTTTAGATCCTCACTCCTGTTCTAAATGCTTGTGTGGATGAATTCTAGATAGTAATACAGAACTACGATGCTTTGGTTCTCCATTTCTTTCTTGAAGTACGTGATTGACACATAGGTATGAGATATGACCTCTAAGAGTTCTCCAAATACATGGAAAAACTAAGAAAACTTGACCATTCGAGTGCCGGACACATACCCATATCTGATGCTGAAGCTGGAGTCCGGGTAGCATAGATATGGGATGTCTTGTTTATAGAAGCTAGTATGTTTAAATAGATTTCTTAAGAGAATATGCGAACAACAATGTAGTCCAGTCATTGAAAAAATTATCTTGAGCTTAGTTGTTGATAAAGTTTAGGCAGCAGAAGATATGGTTTAAGTACGTTAGTTCATTTCCAGGGATTGTTTTGGGGAAATTAAGGGTGACTATTAGCATGGGGTGCTATGGGTTACAGTTACTGCAAACTTGCATTCTTAATCAGAACACTCTGGGTTGTATTATATGATTTTTGTTTGCAAAACTATTACCGAGGAATTCGATTTTCATATGCCGACTTCAGTACACTGGATGATCAAGTTGGTCTCAATCTCATTGTACTTCTTCATTGTTTTTCTTGTCACTGAATTTGCTTCATTAGGATTCATGATTTCAATATCGTTGTAATCAGTTTATGATGCATCTATTTCACAGATCTGACTGAAATTTGATTTATCTGTTACTGGTTTTTTGGTATTGCTTTAGTGTATGTATGTGAATATCATTAGAATGGTATTAATCATATAGAAGAGGAATCCAAATATGTGCCTTTACAGCTGCTAGATGTGTGTTTCTGTAAGTACCTGATCAGTTAGGTCCGTATCTTCTTGGTTCTCTATCACATCGTAATATCTCCCTGTAATAATTAGAATTAAACTATTCATCTGATATTTGAGGTGTTTTTTTCCCTTTTTGTTAGGAGGACTTTGACTTACTTATCAACGGGCAACTGGGAGTCTTTCTCGCGAAATACCTTCTGCATTGTACGCAGGAAGCTTGATGGGTTCGAGATTCCCATCTCATCAGCTCAGCAATGGCCTCTACGTATCAGGTAGGCCAGAGCAACCTAAGGAAAGAACTCCCACCATGAGCTCAGTAGCAATGCCTTACACTGGTGGTGATATTAAGAAGTCGGGAGAGTTGGGGAAAATGTTCGATATACATGTGGATGGCTCTAAGTCCCGGAAGTCTGGACCTATATGTGGTGCCCCTTCAAGGACTGGATCTTTCGGAGGCGCTGCTTCACACTCTGGACCCATCATGCCTACTGCAGCGCCTCGGGCAGGCTATACCACCTCTGGTCCTGGACCTACAGGAGGCATGTCCGGTTCAGCTTCGTTAAAGAAGTCGAATTCTGGACCATTGAATAGACACGGGGATCCAGTGAAGAGAACAGCTGGCCCCCAATCTGGTGGACTAACATCAAGTGGACGCCAAAATTCTGGTCCTATCCCTGTTCTTCCTGCAACTGGTCTCATCACGTCTGGGCCAATCTCATCAGGTCCACTAAATTCATCCGGGGCTCCTAGAAAAGTATCTGGTCCTTTGGATTCAATGGGATCAATGAAAGTGCATGGCTCTGCTGTGAACATTCTTAACCACGAAGATGATGAATTTTATCTTAAGAGGAACTTCCCGAAACCAATCTTATGGTCGTTGGTATTGCTTTTTGTGATGGGCTTCATTGCTGGTGGCTTTATTCTCGGAGCTGTTCACAATGCCATTCTCCTCATAGTTGTGGTGATCCTTTTCGGTACTGTTGCTGCATTATTTGCTTGGAACTCATGTTGGGGAAGAAGAGCGATTATGGGTTTCATTGCTCATTATCCCGATGCCGAGCTCCGAAATGCAAAGAATGGGCAATTCGTGAAGATCTCTGGGGTATGTGATAATGTTTTAATGTGGCAGCATAACTTGCATAGCATCTGGTGCTTCGATACTGTTTCCTTCAAGTGTTAAATCATTCAGTTTTTATTTTTAGCCCCCAAATCTCAAGTCTCCAACTTTTGGGCTCATATCTTTCTGAGAATATTAAGGATACTGATTCCAAGGTTGCAGGCTGCTTTCCGGTGTTAGCACTTTAATTTTGCTGATTTTTATTTGGAGTATGATGTTAATGTTAGTCCTGCTATATGTTGTTGGTTCAAATATTTCAACTAATTAATTACCATGAGATGGAGTCTGTTCGATCAAAATCCAGATTTATGTGCCTCAAATGTTCGGTTGTTTTTCTTGAAGGTTGTAACATGCGGAAACGTACCTCTTGAATCATCCTTCCAGAAAGTTCCTAGATGTGTCTATACATCTACTAGTTTATACGAGTATCGTGGATGGGATTCCAAAGCAGCCAATCCTAAACATCGCCGGTTTACGTGGGGGCTCCGATTGTCAGAAGTAAGTTATTGGAGTATTCATGTATCAGTTAGATAAATACATTTTTTTACTGAATGACTTTAGATCTATAATAAAGAAGGCCTGCCCTCATGTCGAAGCAGTTGAAGTCTATTTTGATATGATGCACATTCAAAGGTTTTGTGTCTATCTTTTTGATAGAGGCATGCGGTTGACTTCTACATCTCCGATTTCCAGTCGGGTCTGAGAGCTTTGGTAAAAACGGGCTATGGAACAAGGGTGACTCCTTACGTGGATGACTCTATCGTCGTTGATGTTAACCCTGCCGAAGAAACATTACCTCCAGATTTCATTAGGTGGCTTGGAGAAAGGAACCTTTCAAGTGATGACCGTGTAATGCGGATTAAAGAAGGGTAAATGTTCTCTCCGAGTGTCGTTTGTTGGATCTAGTCTTTATTTGACCAAATCAGGCAAACTAAGGCCAGCATCCGGATTATCTTTCCAGTTTTCATGTTGGTGTAAGCTGGTTCCAGGAAAGTTCCGATCAAGTATTTTTGACTTCAAAATTTACGTATTCTTGTATTTGTAGATACATCAAAGAAGGAAGCACAGTTAGTGTAATGGGAGTTGTTCAAAGAAACGACAGCGTGCTCATGATTGTCCCCCCATCCGAGCCAATCACAACAGGATGCCAGTGTACAAAGTGCGTTTTCCCGGCCGGTCTCGAGGGCATTATAGTGAGATGTGAGGATACATCAAAGACCGATGTTATTCCGGTCTAGTAGTATGCGCCTCGTGAACTTTTCAAGGTAACATCGTTAAACATTTATTCTTTGTTTATTTCAATGGCAACGGCGCATACAAGAGACAATAGTGTGATGATTTAGGATGGGGTAGGTGATTGTCTTCTTGTTGTCATTTTAACTCTTTGTATATCTCTTCGGTTTCTATGCTGTTCCCTTTTTTTTTCCTCTCTGTTAGTACCCGTATTTGACGTCTTTGTCCGACGCATATTCGGACATGAATACGGAATATGACCTTTCAAGGACCTTCCCAATACACTAAAAACATATCCCATGTATCCGAGTAAAATAGGGCAGGCTCGGGGGCTTTTGTTGGTTTGATGTTATTAGGGAGTTTTACGTGTGCCCAGTGGATTGCAATTTATGTAAAATAGGGAAAGAGAAATAGAAGCTTTGTTATGCAATATGCATTGTTTTATTCATATGACATACTTGGAATTTTCTTCAATATTCTCCTTAATTATTTTTCCCATATTTCTATATTTTATTAAAATGTTGAAGTTCATTTTATTTATTTATTAATAGAATGCCTCAAGAATTGTGTATTTATTTTGTTTGTATAAGAGATTATTGTGGCCTGTATTCTGATATAAAAATTTAGTGATATAATTGATAGATTTTTTTGATTCGATGTTCAAAATAAAATCATAACCATAATTTAACAACCTAGAAAGTAGTTTACCCTGAAAATTATTAGATATAAATGCGTACATTCATTTGTACGTACATACATGGTACATACCTAAGCCTCTAATCTCTTATCTTTTTCGGTTAACAGTATACTCTCTTTCTTTTTCACAACTGAATGACCAACTCCACCAGAAATAGCTCACCATCAAAACTAAGCCCAGCTGGTTCAGCAGGCTGAAGCAATCCGTCGACCATTCCGCCGAACACATACAAATACCGACCTGAATCATCAACGCAGGCTCGATGAAATGATCGGCATCCGGGTTTATAACCTTGGGTTTAATAAGTCTTCTCTACTTGTTTGCCAACAATCTCTTCGAACCCAATCCTGTTGGATGCATTCTTTCTAATGTATGCGGCTGATATCCAACGCCCAGAAATCATATTTTCTATGCCTCAATGAATCCTCTCCTCCATGAATTAGTAACTTTCCCCCGACTATTGATGTAGCAGAATGTCCGACTCGTGGGAGTGAAACTCCGGCTGGTACGTTCTGCAAGTCATAGAAGACTTGAACTCATTTAGAGTAACCTTCGGACACATGCAACACCCATATATCGTTCAAAACTTCGTATCCCAATCCCCTCCCACTGAACAAAATTGTCTGTGTTTCGCTAATGCATGTCAATGAATGTCCTGAACGAGCTGGAGGCGACGGATGGCTAACGATCTGATGCCATGTTCCGAAACATTGAATTTCAGACAATTCTATAACCCATGTATCATCTAACCTGACTCCATTCAAGCCAATTCCGCCGTGGACGACCATCCTCCTGGAGCTTATACAACATGCAGCATGGGCTCCTCTAGGCGGCGGAGACGTGGAGCCGACATCGAGCAGCCGCCATGACAGTGAGATGCCAAGGTTTTCATGGATTGAAACTTGTCCCAACCATGTATCACTCTGCCGGTCGCCTCTGTCGTTGATTCCTCCAAACAAAACAAGATAATTTTCAATGACAACACATGTATGGCCGAATCTTCCACTGGGGATACCTGTTTGAATCTTCTGCCATTTTAGCATCTTCTGAGAACTGTTGCCGATGTAAGCTGCCCATGTGTCGTCAAGATGGCGCCCTACCATTATAAAAACTTCAAAAAGTTACCATATGCAAGTTACTCCAACTCAATTCAAGTGTGGGACAAAGATACGTAGAACATGTATTCGTCCCCTATATTTATGTCTTATATGTATTCGGACAAAGAAATGAGTATGATCGTCCCAATACATAAAATAACTTTTTTTTTTTAAATTAAACATACACGTATCAAACATTCAAATCTATATAATATTGATCACACAAAACAACACTATCAAAACATAATAAGAAACGCGGCATAACACAAAAAAATTACACAAATATGATATGAATGCACGAATATGTAAAATATATATATATATATATATATATATTTAACCTCCTTCACAGACAGCTAGAGAAAAGCCATCTCAGGAAACATGAAACAAAAACAAGTAAAATCAAAGTTTGAACTATACATACAAATATATATATTATATTATTTAGCCTCCTCCTTAGACAGCTAGAGAAAAGCCAACTCTGGAAACATGCACCAAAAAACAAGAAAAGTCAAAGATTAATGCACACACACTTGTATTATATATTTATAAGTATATATTATCTCCACGAATGACCAAACACATATTATATTATATTATATTATATTATATTATATTATATTATATTATATTATATTATATTATATTATATTATATTATATTATATTATATTATATATATTATATTATATTATATTATAGAGTATCATCATTACAGGGATTTATTAAGTAATTTATAATGTTGTTGAGTTTGACACCCATGCAAACATAGATATGGATATGCAAGTACCAAATTTAAGCGAGACTAATCCTAAATCTGAATAGCATGTGCTGCTACTGGCACTGATTTCACAAAAGAGAGTCATGCAACAAACACAAAACAAAACCAAAGACAAAATTGAGGTACAAATGAATGAATGACCTCCTTCACAGCCGCCACCGAACAAAACCAGGCAACCAGAGACAAAATTGAGAGAGTGAGAAGCTCGAGGAGTGGGCAAAACCAAATCGGGATCTGGCTCGGTGAGTTTGTAACAGCAAACGGAGTCAACCTTGGACACCTGTTTGTAAAGCCTAATCCATGGAAGCTGTTGTTCACCGCCACGAAAGGACGATTTAAGAACATCCACAGCACTACTTCCCCAGTCTCTCCCGCAAACCGATTCCCATAGATTATCGGAAGTGGCCAAGTACCTGTATTTCTTGCAAGTCATGGCGAAGGACAGGATCGAATCTACTGGAAGTAAAAACAAGATAGGGAAGAGATGGTCTGGAGCTAAGCTAGCAATGGAGGATCCATTTTTGAAGCTACTGCTGCTGCTGCTGGTTTCCGCCATGGAACAAAAACAAAGAGGGATTTTGGGGGTTTGTTTTGGAAAATATTGCTTGGATTTTTATGGATATGGAGATAGAGAAAGAGGGTAGCAGAAGGTGGAAAGCTCTATGATGGGTCTGGTATTGTTGCAATGTACTAGTACACGAGTGCGATGCCAAATTATTAAGGGTAAACTTTGCAGATAGTCCCCTATTTTTTGGGTTTGATCGACTTTGGTCACCAATTTAAAAATTAAGAGGGAATGGTCCATAATATTATCGATCTGTTCGATTTTAGTCCCCCGACCATTAATTTTCATTAACCCATTTTGTTTAAGTCCCTTTTGTTTAAGTCTCTAACATGGCTGAGGGACTAAAATCGAACGAGAGTTAACAGCTGAAAGATTAAAATCGAACGAATCAATAATGTTAGAGATTAAGATCGAATAGATCGATAACGTTAGGGATCATCCCTTAATTTTTAAATTAGTGACCAAAGTCAATCAAACCGAAAATATAAGGGATTGTTTGCATAGTTTACCCAATTATTAATTATATTATAGTAAACTACAAGTTTAATACCTAAATTATTACTTTTGTTCCGCTTGGTACCTAAACATCATTTTGTTTAAAAGTCATACCTAACATTTAATGTAGGTTTCTTTTTGGTACCCGTCAAAAACTCAAAGTCTTTTTGTTTCACCAAAAATATTTTTCGAAAAATATTTTTCGTAAAATAAATTACTTATTCTGAAAAACATTTTCTAGAAAACATTTTAAGGTGTTTTGAAGATATTGTGTAAACTATTTTCCACTAGTTGGAATTTTTTCTAGAAATTAGTTATCATAAATAACAAATACAATAAATAATATTATTTATTATAATAACTTAATATTATTATTTTTACAATATTAAAATAATTTATTTAATATTATTTATGTCAATACTATTATTAAAATATTATTTTTATAACTTTATAAATAAAAAAGATTAGTATATTCTATTAAAATAAAAATATTATAAATTATATTAATTATTTATTAAAATAAAAATATTATATTATATTACCAATTTAACTACTCAATTTTCAAATTGCTTATGTTTTAATCACTCTAATTATTTTATTAATAATTTTTGTGCATAAGTAAAATAAAAAAATATGAAAGTTAAAGTGATTAAATTAGGGGTAATTTAAAAGTTAAATAATTAAATTAAAAAACTAAACTTCAATGGCCAAAAGAGGAATGTAAAGATAGTTAAGTGGTGAATGAATAATTTGCCCATAAAAAGTGTAACATACAATAGTACCATTAAATTTTTGAGGTACCAAATCGAAACAAAAAGTAAACATTATGTATAATTTTTTTAAAAAAATTAGTTATCAAAATAGGATAAAAGCAATGGTTTAAGTACTAAAAATATAGTTTACCCATTAAATTATAGAGAACACGTGAAAATTCAAATGCCATCGTTTAACTTGGATCTTTTCCCAAAATTCGATTGATTCTCGAGTGTTCACAGATTTGTCAATTGTCTTTCTCCCTTTGCTTATTGTTCGTTATTTTCCTCAACGTTGTGCTTATATCAGATTGTCAAAAAATAAACTGAATTAACTCAATAATATTAATGTTTGAAGGAATTGAAAACTCCAATCTATTCACAAAGAAAGAATGTTCGCTATTCTGCAAATTAGTGTAAATGTCTTCCGTTTCTTGTTGACCTTGCCTTCTCCTTCTCTTTATGTAATACGGGTGCAGGGTTTTTGAAATGATTTATTCTTTTATTATGGATGACGATAGTTTCATGTTGTGCGATCTAGCGACTAGCTGTGGTTAGTACTATGATATAGAAGAAGCATATCTGAAAATGTTTAGAATACTATATGAACTTCTCATCCGATTGAATTTCAGCACACTGTTTTTAACCAGCTGTGAGACCCATGATCAAAGTCTGTATCATGCAACTCCAAATTACTAATACAACCACCGAGTTTTATCAAATATTGCATGATAACTGTTAAAATCCAATGTAATTTCTAGATAAATGTATAATTATCATTTAGGAGATATGTCTTACAAATATTCTAGATTATATAAAATAATCTAGATATTTATAATATTTAATAGTATTTCTAGAATTATCTATTGCAAGAATGTAGACATTTTAATGTTAAATGATTAAGATGTGACCTGTGTCAACAATCCAATAATCACTAAAATCTATAATAAAACTATAAATACTAAAAGTGAGGATTAAGAAAATGATATAATTGTAATGGAAACACAGTCATGATCAAAAGTGAAACTAGATATATGACTGTTAGAATCTCTCATAATACCGATAAAAAAAAGGAAGGAATAATGTAAAATGAATAGAAAATGAAAACCCTATTAAGACTAAACAAAAATCAAAATAAAAAACATAGACAATAAACTATTATTGCCTTAACCAATGAAAACATAGACAATAAACATAGACAATAATCTCTCATAACAAGAACCACCATTACTGATTCTTAAGTGTCCGTTAATTTTCTGAAATGTTGGTGATTTTACTAGCATGAGACTACCAATAAATAAAAATAATTAGCTCAATAATATTAATGTTTGACGGAAGTGAAAACTTTAATCTATTTATAAAGAAAATACGCTCCTCAATCCTCATTCTTTAAATTAGTGTAGATATCAGTCTCTTATTATTGTCTTCTGTTTCTTATTGGTCTGACCTCGTTCTCTTTATGTGGTACAGGTGTGGAGTTTTGAAAGGATTATTCTTTTATAAATTACCATGAATCTAAATATGGATGACAATAATTTCATGTTGTGGGATATAGTTGTGATTAGTATTTTGATATAGAAAAAGTAGACTAAACCCCAATATCTGAAAAATATTTAGAATACTGTATGAACTTCTCATCCGAGTGAATCTCAACATTTTCACTGTTTTCTACTAGCTGTGAGCCCCATGATCAAAGTCTGTACCATAACTCCAAACTACTAACTTTTAACAAATATTGCATGTAGAACATCATTCCTTTCTTGGACAGGACAGTAACAAAAATCATTCATGTTCCTTTAAAAACAAAGATACCTGCGCATCAGAGCCGCCGGCACCAGCAGTTATAGGGACGACTGCACCTTCTTCATCATAGGGACCAAAGAAGTTGAGTCAACTCAAATTTGCCCAATGCCTTGTATAGTTCTTCGATGACACTGATAGCCTCTTCCAGAAGTGCAGCATCTATGGAGTCCATCTCCTCTGTTATATTAACTATAGTTCCTGCATCTTCAACCTGCAGCCATTGTACGATACAAAGCTCGCTATATAGAGAAGGCATATTAAGGAAGTGGTACTTCTCCAAGTTCCAGTATGGCACATCTTCATCAAAATATTAGTTTGGGAAAATATGCAACTACAATTTTACTTCGGGTCACCAAAGAAACTCCTACAAATGCTTGTAAAAGGAGCCACTTTGGACAAGATCTCTTAAAGACAATCAACTCTCCCGGAATGCTTAATTGGAAAAGAAAATAAAAAAGCACAGTGTCCAAGAAAGCATGTT